TGTACAGGATCTCATTGTACATGGGCTGTAATTTATGTTATTCCTCATACTTTAATACAATTCAATACTTTACTTGTTTCAAAAAAAAAGTTTCATTCTTCTGCTGCACTTCAAAGAAGCCTAAATTCTACTTTCATCACCCTAATCCATAATAAAAAGGTGCTGAAGAGCTTAGGAATTTTAGGCCGGTTAGCCTCATTGGGAGCATTTACAAAATTTTATCAAAAGTATTGGCCAAAAGGTTGAAACCAGTGATAGGGAGTGTTATGTCAGATTTTCTAGGGGCTGTTGTTGGAAGGAAGACAGTTACCAGATGGGATTCTAGTAGCAAATGAACTACTCCAGGCTGAGGAGTGAAAAAGCTGGTTTGCTATGCAAAATGGACTTTGAAAAAGCTTATTACCATGCAAATTTGGACTTTTTCAACTATGTTTTATGGAAGATGAATTTTAGTTCCAGGTGGAGGAATTGGATGAAGGTGTGTGTAACTACCGTCTCCTTCTCTGTGTTCGTTAATGGTGTCGCTTCTGGTCATTTTAAGAGTTCAAAGAGTCTAAGACAAGGTGACCCCTTGTCCTCCCTTTTTTTTTATGTGTGATGGAGGCTTTGGGTATAATGGTTTTGAGAGCAGTTTTGGGAGGTTTTTTTAGAAGGTGGGAGAGGAAAGAGTAGAAATTCCCCTCCTACAATTTGCAGATGACTCGATGTTCCTTTTTAATGCATCTCACAATCAGTTAGATTATTTGATGGCAACCCTGTGGTGGTTTGAAGTGGTCTCAGGTTACATCTAAATGTTCGTATAAGTGAACTGGTGGCAGTGGGGGGAGATTCAGGAGCTGCGACAATGGGCAGATTATTGGGGTTTCAAGGTGGGAAAATTACCAATCAAGTATTTGGGAATGCCTTTAGGGGCCAAATGCAATGCAAAATCCATTTGGGAACCAATGGCAGAAAGGGCAGAGAAAAGATTAGCTGGCTGGAAGGCAAAATACCTATCTAAAGGAGGCAAACTCACTTTGATTAAGAGTGTGTTGTCTTCTCTTCCTGTTTAGGTAATGTCCTTGTACCCAATTCCAGCAGGTATGGTATTCTTAATTGAAAAGAGGATGAAGCGTTCTTATGGAAAGGTTGGAAGCACACTAAAAAGACTCATTTGGTAAAAGTGGGGAAAGGTTTGTAAGCTTAAGAAAAATGGAGGGTTGGGTATAAGAAAGCTAAGAGAATTGAATATTGGTCTTCTAGGCAAATGGTTTTGGAGGTTTGGGCAACAAGGGAGTTGATGAGAATGAAAATTATCATATCTTTATCCCTTAATATTCAGTCTTTTATACTTGTTTAGTGCCTAATTGGATTCACTATTCTTATATTTCGATTTAGGGCACGAAAGGAGGCGTTAGGTGAAAAACAAGGCTAATTGGGTAATTTTGCACAGTTTCGGCGCCGCGTGGTAATTTGGGCATAACTCTCCCATCCGGACTCCGGCTGAGATGATTCAAGATGCATTGGAAAGATAAGGAAAAGCTCTACAACTTTCATGTTTTGAGCTTTGATAGATTTGGACTGCATCGAGGTCAAAATCGGGCCCGAAGTCTCTGCAAATTCGTAGAGAAGCCCTAGTTCGCTGGAGAAGCCCAAACCAATTCAGCATGCAGTAGTAGGGCCCACTCATCATTCCTAATAGAATTCGGCTAAGAGTCTTAATCAGATCCGATTTTTATTGTAATCTTAAAGAAAGAAAAGAGTTAGAGTCCAACTTAGTTAAGAGTTTCTATTTAGAGATAAAGATAAGATTAGATCTGAATTAGGAAATAGGACTTTCTATTTTTGAGAAAGAGAACTCCTAAGAGGAGCTGAAAACTGCTCCCTTCTAAGGCTATATAAAGGGGGACGGACTAGCACCCAAGGATCATCAAATCTTGGAAACAAGAATTCAGCAAGAAGGGAGAAAAGAAGCAGAATACGCCCCCCTCATCCGGAAGCTGCGATTTCTACATGAAGTGTGTGTAAGCTTTTGATTTCTGGTTGAAAGGTTAGGGAAGTTTGATTCTTAAACATTGTGAGATCTAATTGATTTTTATTTCAGTTCATTGTTTATGGGTATTCATATGTTTTCTGCGATTTCCTGTGAGGATTATTTTTATTGATTAAGCAAGAAGGATCCCTTGCTCATTCAATGAGAATAATCCATGGCCGATTGCACCTCCAATTTCGTATATGATTGGTAGGTTTAATCATGGTGGCAACTAACATAA